CGTTCACTACGGCGCGGTCCTGGTGCCGGTCCGGCGCAGCTAGAAGGCGGCGCCGGCTCGTCCGTCTGCTCGGCAGGTCGCTGGTCGGCTGAGCGGCAGGCGGCACGCGTCGGCGGCGACGGATCTCGGTCACCGGCAGACGGCGCGGCGACGATCAGCGGATGGTGGCGCCTCAGGTAGCGCCGGTTGCGCCACCAGATTCTCCCGCTCGGGACTTTGATGAGGTAGTCGCGGCGTTTTCCAATTCCCACGACGATGCCGGTCCGGTCCCACTGTCCGGTCTGCGGGTCCCGCACGTCCACGTGGTCGCCCATTGCGAGCGGCGCTAGTGGCCTGGCGGAGATGTCGTAGTCCCGCTTCGCTTTCTTTCGAAGGTCGGCTGCTCGGGCGTCGCACACGTCTGCCGCCTCTTGCCACTCCTTGGCAAACGTCCTGTGGTGGACGGGCAGAGCTGTGCGGATTGGGTGCCCGAACAGAGTCTGCGCTGGTGAGCGGCCGTCAGCGCGGGGCGTGTTTCGCAGCTCCAGTAAGGCGCGTGCGAATTCATCCGAGTCCAGGTTTCCTTCGTCGGTCGCTTTCCGGACGAGATTCTTCAGCTTCTTTACTGCAGCTTCTGCGTGGCCATTGGCCTGGTGATGATGAGGTGATGATATACGGTGGTCCACCCCCCACCGCGTCAGGAACCGGCGGAGGATGCCTGAGGTGAACTGCGGGCCTCCGTCAGACCGGAGGAGCGCCGGCACGCCGGTGGCTGCGAACAGCGCCCGCAGTTCGGTCACGAGGTGAGCGGCGGAAGCCGTTCGGGGGCATGACGTCACGTATGGCCAGCCAGATAGACGGTCGACGTAGACGAGGAAAGTTCGTCCTCCGTAGTGAAAATAGTCGGCCGATACAGACTCGAACACCCGTGTGGGCGGCGAATCGTCCTGCCACAGGGGCTCCTTAGGCTGGGCAGACCGGTAGATGCTGCAGCGTGCGCATGACATCACGCACTGCTTGATATCGGAGTCGCATCTCGGCCAGTAGACCGTCTGGCGGGCTCTCCGGCAGGTGGCGTTGATGCCCTGATGTCCATCGTGAAGTCGTTGCAGTGTTTCTCTCCGGAGCTCTTGTGGGATCAGGAGCCGAGGTCCATATACGATGAGTCCGTCATCGATGGCCAGTTTGTCTCGAACGTTCCAGTACGGACGGACGGACGGGTCGAGACGGTGCTTCTCATCGGGGAACCCGTGAATGATGAGGTCTCGGAGCGCGGTGTACTCGGGATCTCGTGACGCTGCGGCTCGTACCATCTCCAGCGTCTTGTCTTGCAGGGGCGCAAGAAGTGTCCCTTCTGCATCGACGGCAGTAAGGGCCGTGACCACGGACAGATGCAGCGGGTCGGGTTCGGTGACTTCAGCAACCTCGTCCTCCATCGAGGGGTCGTCGACCGGTGCACGGGAGAGCGCATCAGGAATCTGATGGCATGATCCTTTCCGCCAGCTGGCGGTGAAGGTGTACGCCGTGAGTTTTTCTCTCATCCGCTGTAGGCGGCAGTTCTCAATTTCAGATAGCAGCTTGCTGTTGAGCACTGGAACGAGAGGGCGATGATCGACGATGACGTCAAAGTGAGGCATGCCGACCAGGTAGAGATGGCATTTCTTGATTGCCCACACGACACCGGCCATCTCCATCTCGATACAGGCGTACCGAGACTCTACATCGCTGAGGAATCTGGATCCGCACTGGATCAGTCTCCAGTCCTTGAGGCCGTGACACTGGAGGAGAGCGTAGCCCAGTCCTCCGGTCTTGGCTGCATCAGTGCATAGCACTGTGGGGAGGCTGGGGTCGAAGAAACCCAGAATCGGCGGAGAACTGAGCGCCGACTTGACCCTGTTGAAGGCGTTCTCGTGTACTGGGGTCCACAGCCACGTATTCCGAGGCTTCAGAAGATCTCGGAGGGGGGCCGCCTCCTGAGCCACCTCGGTAGAGAAGGAGCTGAGCTGGTTAGCGAGTCCAAGGAAGGATCTCAGGTCCGTTATGTTCTGTGGTCGCGGGAACTCCGAGATGGCGGACGTCTTCCTGCGATCCACTGTGTAGCCGTCCCGAGAGATCTGGTAGCCACAAAATTCGACACTTGTGCGGCCGAATCGGAACTTCTGGGCGTTGAGCGTGATGTCCTGTGCTTCACATTTCTGCAGAATGCGGACGACATGAGCGAGATGCTCCGAATACGTCTCGTCGTGAGCCAGGATGTCGTCAACAACTTTGACGGTGCGTGGCACGTCGCCCAGGGCCTGATCGCCTCGCCGGTTGTACTCATCTCCGGCCGAGACGAGTCCCATCACTGCACGGTTGAAGCGGTACCTGCCCCATGGAGTAATGAAGCAGGTCAAGTCCTTAGAGGAGTCATCCAGGCTGATTTGATAGTAGCCCATTGCTGCGTCCATGGTGGTCAACCACTGCGCGTCTGGCGTGATCGACGAGACCGCCTCATGCGGTGGACGTACAGGGTACGTGGGGCGTTTCACGTACTTGTTCAATCTTGTTAGATCGATGCAGATGCGCACTCCTCCCTGCTTTTTCGGCACACATACCAATGGATGGCACCAGTCGGTAGCGTGATCGACCTTGTCGATGATGCCCCTCGCGAGAAGGTCGTCCAGCTGTTGCTTCACGCCGTCGCGCCAGCAGAACGGAATACTCCTGGCGGCGGTGATGGCAAACGGTCGCGCGCCGTCAGCCAGGTCGATGTGCATCGGTCCGCCGGCCATCTCTCTCAGAGTGCTTTTGTTGTCGAAGACGCTCGCGAATGCACTGATCAGTTGCTCTTCGTGACGAGCTCGCTGTTGTGGTGTCGGCGGCTGGGCACTGGTCCAGGTCGGGATCGACCGGTTGTCGGCCGCGGACGAAACTGAGGTTCCCACTTTCTCCGGTAGAGGTGCTGGTGGACCCGTTGGATCCGGAGTATCCGGTATAGATGTCGCCAGCGAGCGATGATCGCGCTCATGGGAGCTAGCGGGCCGGGCAGGAGTTCCTGGTCGCTCCTGGACCGGTGGCATCTGACTGGCAGTGCAGGTCGATGGCGGCCGGACGGCCGTGCCCGACACTGCTGGTTGTGCCGGCCGGCGAGTAGTCGTCGGCCGATCACTGGATGGGCTGGGGGCGGTGGCGGCGTCACGTGCCTGAGCACGTGGTGGCTGGCCGCCGGCATCAGTGCGGCGCGTCGGTGTCGACCGCGCGGCCGCGGCGCGCCGCACGGGCGGAGCGGCCGCCGCACCTCGCGCTGGCCCACCGTCAGGTACGGCACTCCGCGCCGGCGGAGCGGCCGCGGCGCCCCGCGCCGTCTCGCCGGCGGGCGCGGCGTTCCGCGCTGTTGTTGTTCTGCTGCAGTCTGGAAGACTCATCTGGTGTAACTGCAGCGGGTAGTCGGCCGGGAAAATCCCGAGCTGCACGGAGTCCCACCAGGAGAGCAGTGCTCCTCGCAGCTCGCCGATGACTGCGATCTCCGTGGTTATGCGCCGGGAGCCGAGCTGGATGGTGGCCTGAAATGAGCCGACAGACGTCAGCGGATAGCCTCCTGCAGCTGAGAAGGTCTGGGGTGGCACACCGTTGTCATAGTCCGACACACCCAGAGCGGCGGCCTCCTTTGGGCCGACAACAGTGGCTTCGGCACCAGAGTCGGGGATGCAAAGCAGAGACCCACTGCCAGAGTCGTGTGTGACGAGCACTTTCACACGGGGAGCCGGGTGGGTCACACGACTGGTAGTGTGCACATCAGCTATGAGGTGATGAACATGACGGTGTTGAACGTACTGCTCCTGAGACTGGATTTTACCCAAGCACATGTTTTCAAAGTGGTTCAGTTTGGCACATTTTGAGCATTTGTGTCCACGAGCAGGACAGTCCTGCAACCTGCCATGCCACTTGTTGCCACAGAATTTACACATGTTTGAAGCTGAGCGCGACTTGGACTGTGACCTTGCACGGCTTGTGGACTTGTCTCTCTGATATTGTGATTTTCGTCCCACTCTCTGAACAGCATGGTGAGCCAAGGTGGCACAGTTTTTGGACGCAACTTCATGGCTCCTGGCCATGTCAAGAGCCTCCTGTAGTTTGAGGTCCTTGACATTTAGCAGGCTGCGCAACAAACTTTCATCCCTGACACCCATGACAATCTGGTCACGCAGGCGCTCATCAGAACATTCTGGGCAGAAGTCACAAAATTTGCTGATTTCCTTGAGAGAGATCAGAAATTCGTCGAAAGACTCTCCGACAGCTTGGCGTCTGGAGAAAAACTCCCTTCTGTCCAGCAGGACTGATCTTTGGTCTCGAAGATACTTTTGCATTGCATCAAGTAGCGCTGGGAGCTCTGTGACTGTGTTGGCAGCACAAATGGAATGCTGGATTATCCTGCACCAGTCATCATCAACCAACCCCTCTAGCACCATTTGCTGTTGTCTGAATGGCAGAGTATCAATCCCGGTGAGTGAGCAATATCCTTCAAATTTACTCCTCCAGATGGCAAATTCTCTGAGGTTCGCTTGACCAGCTAGATGTGGAGCGGGTGTTGCACTTACTGGAAGTTTCGGAGGGCTTACGTTCATGTTGAGGGCGGAGGCGGCTGGCAAAGCCTGCGGCTGCGTCTGACCTTGACCCTGACCGCGCAGCAGATCCTCCATCATGGACACTAATCTCTGTTCGCGTTCTTGGGCGGCGGCGGCTTGCTCTCGTAGCATGGTGGTGAGGTCTTGCACTAGCTCAGCACCTGTCGGCTGCGCCATGTTACGTTACTGTCTGTTAAACGATAACGATATTTGGTTCGTCCCCTGCAGCACGCACCGCACACCAACCGCACACGACCGCGTCTCCGTCTCGACTGTATTTGCCTCGTCAGCACACGGGGATTCCAACTGAAGGGAAACTTTCACGTTGAAGGGAAACCCTTACGACACATATATAACCTAAAAAGCAAAACCAACCACTGTTTCATTGGAGAGCCGTACATCATGCACATCTAACAAAACATGCCAAACAGTAAACACCCAGGAAAGTGGTGGGGCTTCACAAGAATACGAGGTGCCCTGTGTTCTTTGTCGTTAGATGTAGCTGAACACGCGGTTCCAGACTGCTCACACTGCCCATTTGTCGAAAATTATCGAAGTTTGACCTAGAAAGTGACAAATTTCACCTTTGTTGACCTTTAGCGACCTTACCTTTTATCTGATATAAAAAGTGACAAGAGTATTTTTCTCATTATTTGGACGCTCTTTGGAACACCGCCTACGGCGTGCCGATACATGGCCCAGAGGCCGAGTTATAGGGCCCCCAGCAGAACCTGGAAATACAGGACCGCCAGCGGGACGCGGGTTAAGGATGATTTTCATTTAGTATACACGACCATTAGGTCGTTTCCCCGTGTGAATCAGCAGCTGACTTTTGAGTTGTGATGAAACCGAAAATCGTACGGTGCAGATGGAGCAGCCGTACGGCCGCTCTCATGTGTGGGTTCGTATGTTTCCCTTGAGACCTTACCGAAAAGCAAACCGCGTCTGTTTGATGGAGCAGCAGTAGGGTCGCTATTCTGTGTGGTGTCATTTGTTTGGTGACATCTGACCCAACAGAAAAACGCGCCGGGTAGATGAGGGACTGCTGTGCGGGCGCTCCCCGCGTGCGTGCGTACGCATGTGTGCAGTGAGGCTTGACCGATTAGTGAACCGTGCTGGGCAAATAGTTAGAGCAGTCATACGACTTCTCTTCTGTATGGACTATGGATACGCATGTGATTGATGAGGGCAGACCGATGAGCAAATCGTGCCTGGCAAGTGGCGCAGCCAAACGGCTTCTCTCCTGTGTGGGTTCGCATGTGTACAGTGAGGCTTGACCGCTGAGCGAACCGTGCCTGGCAAATAGAGCAGCCATACGGCTTCTCCCCTGTGTGGGTCCGCATGTGATTGATGAGGCCTGACTGCTGAGCAAATTGTGCCGGGCAAATAGAGCAGCCAAACGGCTTCTCTCCTGTATGGGTTCGCATGTGTACGGTGAGATGCCGCCGCTCAGTGAATCGTGCCTGGCAAATAGAGCAGCCATACGGCTTCTCCCCTGTATGGATACGCGTGTGATTAATGAGGGCTGACCGATAAGCAAACCGTGCCGGGCAAACGGAGCAGCTAAACGGCTTCTCCCCTGTGTGGGTCCTCATGTGGGTGGTGAGCCTTGACCGCTCAGCGAACCGTGCCGGGCAAATGGAGCAGCTGTACGGCTTCTCCCCGGTATGAGTTCGTATGTGTACAGTGAGATGTGCGCGTGTAACAAATCTGGCTCGACATTCATGACACTGATGCGGCTTCACACGGACACCGGGTGTCTTGTGTTCTTTGCCGTTAGTTGTAGCTAAACACGCGGCACCAGACTGATCACACTGCCGGACCTTCTCGCCAGCGTGCACGCGTCCGTGCATCGTCAGGGCACCGGGCCGTGTGAACGCCTTCCCACAGATATCACACATGTACGGACTCTGACCGGTGTGCACACGACGGTGAGCGGTCAGACCGACTTGTTGAGAAAACGTTTTGCCGCACACTTCACAGCGGTGCGGCCGTTCTTTCGCGTGAGTCCTTCGGTGCCGCGTCATGCTGCCGGAGTGGTCGGTGACGTAAGAACACCACTTGCACTTGTATCTGCCGTTCACGCTTTGGCCGTGTCGTCTCTTCAAGTGTCTGTCCAGACGATGTTGTCCCAAACAGCTGAAGTCGCAGTGGGGACTCTGAAGAGTGTCACCAAAACCTGGAGAACGTATTTGCATATATTGGTTGACGCTACAAACGTTAGCGATCAGCAAACAAGTGCATAGACATGTGAGTGACATCAATGATCCCAACCCAATTGATCTTGCAACGAATTGCAGATCACAGGAGCCCTGGTTATACATGATATTAAGTTGAAACTTTATGTTGGATCTTTTAACACGATCAATCTGGCGACAAGGCAAGGACAAGGGCGTAATGTCTATGATCTGGTGTGTGGCCTGTGTGGGATATCACAATGCTTAACCGCCGTGGAGCCGAGGGTCGTGGAGACACCGTGGACGGTGGAGCCGAGGTTGGTGGAGACACCGTGGCCGGTGGTTGGTTGACGCTACAAACGTTAGCGATCAGCAAACAAGTGCATAGACATGTGAGTGACATCAATGATCCCAACCCAATTGATCTTGCAACGAATTGCAGATCACAGGAGCCCTGGTTATACATGATATTAAGTTGAAACTTTATGTTGGATCTTTTAACACGATCAATCTGGCGACAAGGCAAGGACAAGGGCGTAATGTCTATGATCTGGTGTGTGGCCTGTGTGGGATATCACAATGCTTAACCGCCGTGGAGCCGAGGGTCGTGGAGACTCCGTGGACGGTGGAGCCGAGGTTGGTGGAGACACCGTGGCCGGTGGAGCCGAGGCTGGTGGAGACACCGTGGCCGGTGGAGCCAAGGGTGGTGGAGACACCGTGGACGGTGGAGCCAAGGGTGGTGGAGACACCGTGGCCGGTGGAGCCGAGGGTGGTGGAGACACCGTGGCCGGTGGAGCCGAGGGTGGTGGAGACACCGTGGACGGCGGGGATGACTGATGAGGTCTGCCGAAAACATGTCTCCCAGAAACTGACCGTGGAGACGCCTCTGAACACGAAACAAACTCATCATTTTGACCCAATACCCTCCATGACTGACAATGAAAACGTCGACAATTTCAATGCCGTCAGCTCATGCCATTTTTCGCACAGAGAAGAAAAACTGGCCGGTGGGGGCAAATCAGCCCCCCCTCAAATATGTTATATAGTAACAAAATGTTCCGGCTACATTCTTGGTGCCAGGCATAGACCCGGGAACGGGGGGGGGGGTGGGGGGCAGCGGGGGCGCTTGCCCCCAACTTGCCCCCAACTTTTTTGCAATGCTTTGCTAAAATGCTCGCTACAAATAAATTTGTTGGGCAGGCATTGGGGCAGAAAATAAATAGATTCTGATAGGAAAATGAACGGTCTCTCCAAAAATCAATCCAATAATACGGTGGCACACATAAAGCGTGAGCAGTGAAGGTTCAAATGAAGGGAGTCGCTAATTATGTATCTTACCCATATGTATAGGAATTTTAGGTCTCATGGTGCTACGCATTTGAATTAAAAGCGAAGCATTTATACCCCAGAAGCATTTACTAAAACTGGAAGGGAAAACTCCTACATTCCGTCTACTTGGGGACAATATCCCTCCGTCCACCGTCCTTCTCTGTGGCCACGTTTGCTCACTGGTATCCGACGGGTCCGAATTTCACAAGATGCTAAAATACTGTTACGCTGTGCTATCTGTTATTGTGTTACGCTGTGTTATTTGCTGTTATCTTGCGTTGTTATTTTCTGTTACATTCTGTGTCGCATTATTAAGCGTGCTCGCCGGCCGGCCTCGCAGAGCCGGGACGGCCCGGGACGGGTCGCGGCGCTCGCGGCCCGGGGCGGGTCGCGGCGCATGCGCGGTCGGCGCGCCGCCGGCCCGCGGCCGGCGCCTATATAAGAGGCCGACCGGGTGACCTGAGTCACCTATCCGTGCTTCTATCCTCAGGATACTGAACTCCTTCTCCTCCACGCCACAACCCCCTTCCGGGCTGGACAGGCAACTTTATCTCATGCGGGCTGCTCCCTTGGAGCGGCACCGCTGCTCCCGAGGGAGCGCACCCCGTAGCCGGGTGCAGTGAGTGCCTTGGGGCTGGGTGGCCTGTCCTCTGGACGGGCTCAGCCCCGGCGACTCACTAGGGTGCCTGCCCAGACCAATGTCTCCCCCTAAATCCTATCATCCTTCCGGCTCTGCAATGGTCTTGTCGACCGAAAGGGCCTAACCCAACAAAACAAACAAACAAACAAATGACCTGAGTCAGTTCAGGGTTCTTGCGCCCTAGCTGCACACCTCTCCTGGAGACTGGTCGGTGATCACGATACTGCCAGCCTTCTGTCCCATGCCCACTCCCATAGCCCGGTCGGACTTGGGAAATAGTAGGGGACGTTTCCAGGTTATATTCTGATTGTCTAATTAAGGGTGTTCAACCAACATTGTAATGTACATGTAAAATACATTGTAATTTAACGTACTGCCTATTATCAAAGCACTGACGTACGTAACATTTGTGTGCTCCCACGGCAGCATGCTGTCCACCCAGAACCGTGGCAGTGGCCCCAGGACGACAGTGGGCGCGACGGCTCGGACGGCGTAGAGAACTCCCCGGATGACCGCCTCCAGAGGGCCCCGCGGAGCGTCCACCAAGAGGTTGGCCCCTGTCCGGCGGTCGTATGCCTCATTGCCACTGAACCAGAGGACAATGGTACCTGGATCGAGGCCGAAGGCAGTGGCCGCCTTCCTCCAGGCCTGGAGGTCGGAGTGCAACCGCAGTGCGGCCCTCTGCCAGGTGTTCCCCCCGACAGCGAGGTTTAAGATCATGTCATCCTCGTCACGCGTCCCGAGACCGGCGTCGCGGGCGATAGAGCAACCGAGGAGATGCAGCCGGCCAGGAGGAGCTGGCCGCATACGGAGGGGAGCCCGCCCCGCCCCGCCGAGGTTCAGATCCCCGGACGAGGACGAGGACATGACGTACTCCACCTCTTCAGCCGCGGCCGCCGCATCCCCGGTCCGCCCCGCCCCGCCAGGGTTCAGATCCCCGGACGAGGACGAGACAACTCCAACCTCCACGCCAGCGTCCTCCGCATCCGGGCACTCAGGGTCCGCATCATCAGGCCAGTGCGAGATGGATCCAGCCTCCTCGGCCTGCCGCCGGTACCACGCTGCAGCCTCGACGTCCTCCACCTCCAAAGAGTCGGCCATGCTTACTCACTGAGAACAGAAGAATACATTATAGAGACAATACACACATCTCAAAAAGGTGTTAGTTGTATCCAAGATAGGATGGAGGTCTGCGGTCACGTTGGGAACGTCTGGGACGAGAAGTCACAGCCGCAAGGTCGGGAATAGTCCCAGCATGCCCCGGGACCCGGGCACGGTTAGGAATGATCCCAGACTGACTTTGGGTCCCATCAGGAGGGGTGGTCTCACCCGCGCGGCCCCCCGGCGGCGATCTGAAACGTCCGGGACGAGGAGTCGCATCCGCATGGGTGGGAATGATCCCAGCATCCCTCTGTGCCCGACTACGGTTAGGAATGATCCCAGATTGTCCCGGTGAGTCATCAGGAGGAATAGTCTCGTCAGATGCATCAGAACTCCCCAGACCCCCAGCCCAACTGAATTTTGAAGGTCCCCCGATTTTCCACAAGCGGTTAAAATGTACGACTTTGCAAGCAGCATGCCTGTTTTTCCTAATACGGTATGTGACTGCTGACAACCTCTTCACGATTCGGTACGGACCTTCCCACGGCGACGATAGCTTTGGACTTTGGCTTTTCTTTCTTTTGGGGTTGTACAACCTTTCTTTTGGGGTTGTAATGCGTATCGTTAGAGCTCAAACGGAGGACAACCTCAAGGTGGCAGCGGGTACTATGAAGCGGAGAGCGGATCTGAAAGCTTCCTCCCTGGATCCTCTCCAGGAAAATGATGAGGTATGGTTGTACAACCCCAAAAGAAAGGTTGTACAACCCCAAAAGAAAGAAAAGCCAAAGTCCAAAGCTATCGTCGCCGTGGGAAGGTCCGTACCGAATCGTGAAGAGGTTGTCAGCAGTCACATACCGTATTAGGAAAAACAGGCATGCTGCTTGCAAAGTCGTACATTTTAACCGCTTGTGGAAAATCGGGGGACCTTCAAAATTCAGTTGGGCTGGGGGTCTGGGGAGTTCTGATGCATCTGACGAGACTATTCCTCCTGATGACTCACCGGGACAATCTGGGATCATTCCTAACCGTAGTCGGGCACAGAGGGATGCTGGGATCATTCCCACCCATGCGGATGCGACTCCTCGTCCCAGACGTTTCAGATCGCCGCCGGGGGGCCGCGCGGGTGAGACCACCCCTCCTGATGGGACCCAAAGTCAGTCTGGGATCATTCCTAACCGTGCCCGGGTCCCGGGGCATGCTGGGACTATTCCCGACCTTGCGGCTGTGACTTCTCGTCCCAGACGTTCCCAACGTGACCGCAGACCTCCATCCTATCTTGGATACAACTCACACCTTTTTGAGATGTGTGTATTGTCTCTATAATGTATTCTTCTTCTGTTCTCAGTGAGTAAGCATGGCCGACTCTTTGGAGGTGGAGGACGTCGAGGCTGCAGCGTGGTACCGGCGGCAGGCCGAGGAGGCTGGATCCATCTCGCACTGGCCTGATGATGCGGACCCTGAGTGCCCGGATGCGGAGGACGCTGGCGTGGAGGTTGGAGTTGTCTCGTCCTCGTCCGGGGATCTGAACCCTGGCGGGGCGGGGCGGACCGGGGATGCGGCGGCCGCGGCTGAAGAGGTGGAGTACGTCATGTCCTCGTCCTCGTCCGGGGATCTGAACCTCGGCGGGGCGGGGCGGGCTCCCCTCCGTATGCGGCCAGCTCCTCCTGGCCGGCTGCATCTCCTCCTCGGTTGCTCTATCGCCCGCGACGCCGGTCTCGGGACGCGTGACGAGGATGACATGATCTTAAACCTCGCTGTCGGGGGGAACACCTGGCAGAGGGCCGCACTGCGGTTGCACTCCGACCTCCAGGCCTGGAGGAAGGCGGCCACTGCCTTCGGCCTCGATCCAGGTACCATTGTCCTCTGGTTCAGTGGCAATGAGGCATACGACCGCCGGACAGGGGCCAACCTCTTGGTGGACGCTCCGCG